CTCTTTCTTTGGATATGAAGTGATTTACATATTCCACTCGTTCTTTGACCAATTCGCATTTCTTGACTTTAGCATATAACTTATGTTTCCTGAGGGTAGAGAGAACAATACGAACATGTTGAAGGTGTTCCTCTTTTGTTTGGCTATAGATCAATATATCGTCCAGATAGACAATGACAAACTTATCCAGATAGTCATAGAAAATGTCATTCATTAGGGTCATAAAAGTGACAGGAGTATTCATTAAACCAAAGGGGAGAACAAGAAATTCATAATGTCCATATCTTGTGCGGAAGGCAGTTTTGTGAATTTCGGAATCTTTAATACAGATCTGGTGGTATCCGGAATAAAGATCAATCTTTGAAAAATACTTGGAACCAGTGGAGTGGTCCATAAGTTCATCTATCCTTGACAGAGGATATCGGTTTTTGATAGTGATCTTATTCAGAGCCCTATAGTCCACACAGAGTCTAAGGATTCCTTTCTTCTTATGCACGAACAACACTGGAGCACCAAATAGAGAGGTGCTTGGTCTGATAAATCCCTTGGTCATAAGCTTGGAAAGCTATTTCTTTAGCTCATTCATCTCCATATATGACAATCTGTAGGTGGATTTTGATGGAGGTTCAGACCCAGGAATTAGCTGTATAGCATGGTTAATGTTTTATGGCAGTGGTAAGTTATTAGGAAGTTCAGTGGAAAATATATTCTCAAATTCATGAATAAGAGTTTTGCCTTTTCATTTATATCATTTGACAGTTCAAGAAGATTGGTGGAACAGACAGCAAACAACTCAGCTGTTTTTGGAGTGGCAGCTAATTGGTGGCGAGAGATATAGATCGCGGAGCATTCAGAGGTAATATCAGCTTTCTAGGCATTAGCATTGACTTTGATAGTGTGCTGTCCATACTGGAAGGTAAGGGTATTACTTTTCCAATTGATGTTGGGGTTCACAAAGTATAACCATGGTTTTCTTAGTATAGTATCATATCACGACAGGTCCAGAACTTGTGTGGTGATACCAGATGTTTTGTATGCGTCTAACTCCAGCTTTTCAATGTTACGTTCTTTTCCTACTTCCTTCTTACGGTTATCGGCCAGTTCTATAGTGAGTGGTTTAGATATAACACTCTGTGGAAGCGGTATTTCTCGACGAACTTTTTATTAACAAAATTTCTGGAGACTCCACTGTCCAGGAGGATCCAAGCAGGTTTTCCATTAATCTTTTCATTAAACTGCAATAGCTGTTCTCAGTTCTCTTCTAGTTTGATAAATTCAGTGGTAGAGGAAGACGATGGTTCTTCTGTTTCTATTTGAAAGTTTCTGGCTAATCTCTGAGGGCATTTTCTTGCAACGTGTCCTGATTTTTCACATTTAAAGCAGAGTCCTTTCTGCATCATATATCTCTTTAACTGTTCATCCAACTGGTCCAACTCCATGTGAGTGGTCTGTCAGGTATCTATTGGAGGTATGTAGGCAGCTATTTGGTGCAGATGACGATTCTGTGATGACTGATTCCTATTATTGGAACCTTATTGGTTTCTCTGTTCATTCCTTCATGGCGCTGGTTTTCCAGAGCCATACATAGCAATGTCATATCTCATAGCCTGTGTTTAGGCTTCTTCAAAAGAATTGGAAGAGCGGTAGCTCACTTCTATACGTGTGGCAGGTTTCAATCCCTCCACGAAATATACAATTTTATCGGTCTCGGCCATATTATCAATTTGACCCAAGATGTTTCAGAAAGTCATGCCATACTCTTATACAGAGCCAGTCTGGCAAAGCCTTTTTAGTTGATGTCACAGATACTATTGGTGGTTTGGCAGCTGGATGGTAGTATGAAGGTTGCAAGTAAAATTATCCCAATTATCAAAGACATTGGCTCGGTTGGCAAATTGGATCTCTTGTACTTTATTGAGATACCAGTGCAGAGCGACACCTTTTAATCCGGTGGCAACATACTGTATGCATGTTTGTTACTCTGCGATACCTTGCACCATGAAAATATTAAGACATTATAGCATCCAAGTAATAATATTCTCCTCTAGGGTTTCCTTATATGTAGGAATCCTAATGGAGATTTTGGGGGCAGTAGCGCCTTGCTGTTGCTGTGGTGCGAGAGCTTGTAATTGTCTCAATCCAAGGGCAAGGGCTCCCATAAATTCTTGAAATTGCGTTGCATCCATCACGACAAAATTTGAAGAAGAAGCTTATAAATATGTATGTGTATATATGTGTGTGTGTGCAGTCACATAATTATAACAGTCCGCTGCTACCAAGTTATAAAAGACTTTATTTTAATAAGTCAGTGAACAATTGTTATTTGGCCAACAAGCAACAAAGTTATTTTTATTTCAGGAGAGGCTTGTCCTCTCTATATTAGAATCTGGCCTAAAGTACCTTTTAGTTAAAATAACATCAATAAATCTATAAATACAATAATTAAAAATATATAAATCTTGACATAACGGATATCCAGACTTATGGGGCTATAATATAACGTAAAAAGAAAAACAAAAAGAAAAATAATAATAATAAAGAAATCTATTGGTTTGCACTACTACTGTTTACAGGGCTAATTTCTATTTTGGAGAAACAGGACAAATTGACTATAATGAAAGGCACTCAGCCCAGGATCACTAAAGATAATCTCAGATAATGTTATGTAGAAAGTCCAAAAATAGTAGACAGAACGAGCTTCAGGTCTATAGTCACACAGAGTCATGTATACTTACACAGAAATTTATTGTATAAAATATAATCAATTATGAAAAATTTTCAAGTACCATTAGATATTAACTGAATTATAAGAAAATTAAATAGTGGTGAATAATTTTTAAACTTTATTGTTGATCAGTAAAGAAATTTTTTTATAATATATGCAACTATTATTCTATGGAAACATCTTTCAAATATGGATTACAGAATTTTAATGAATTTTGTCAAAATCTGTCAAATCTTAGTATGTCGAATTTTAAGATAAAATTTATTAAATAATACTTATAAAAGATTAGTCGCAATGATTAAATTAATAAAATAAAAATATAGGGAAGAAAAAATTATTTCAAATCTTTATCTTTCATTATATTTATATGAATGCACATGTGATTATGAAATATTGTATGCATTTTGATGCTTTCTATTTGAGAGAACATGTGGTATATTAGGTAGGGTTTTAAACAAATTTAATATTTAGAAGTAAAATTCTAATGAATTTTTAATCTAGATTTATTGTCTAATAGTTATCAAAATATTGAACCCGAATTAATGCGAAGATTTATGAATAATCATTGAATTATTAATCTAATTATATTCTATACTAATAATCAGGGGCTTAAAATTTTAAATAATCGATCAAATATCAGCTCAGTTTATGAACTAGATCAGTTTTTGGCTGACAAGTTATATCAAATTTTAAACATTATATATAATATTTACAAAACAATAATCAATGGATTCAAATATTTTTCAGGTGAATTCTTGTACCTGAAAAAATCAAATTTAGAGATATTTGCAAAAATATTAGATCTATTAATTGAATACTATAAGGTATCTTATAAAACTATGAACTTTTGGAAACCATTTAAGAAAGATAATGAAAATTCAATAATTATTAAAAATAGAGCAAATAAATATAGTAGATGCTAAATTAGGAGTAAAATATTTAATTCTGTTATGTCCTCATGAAATATTAAGGACTCATTTATATTAGATAGATTCGTGAATTATGATGGAAGTGTTGATTTATATTCGGAACAAGTTCAATTCTTCTTTATACATTTGATAAACTTTTTGAATAATATTATTGAATATTATTTGATCTTTATTTGATAGTACAAACCAGTTAATTCAGCAGAAAATAGATTTTATTTCAGATCTGAAAATGATATGAATGTTGAATTGTGGAGTATTGAATTTTATCTAGTTAGATATGAATGCATAATTCCTATTTATAATATTTTTGACTGATTTATTCCATTTAGATATAGAACCTCAAATTAGCAAGACTTTCATGAATATTTAGCTGTATTCCTCTAAATCATAAATATAATATATAATTAAAAATTTGATAAATATGCAAATTTTGACAGAAATTGAAATTTTGATGAATGTCTAATAATTTTTTGAGGAAAAATTTAATGAAATATATAGTAAAAATGGTGCAAATATAATGCTAAATTATATAGTATAAATTGATTGATGATTTATTTATGCCAAATTATATGTTGAATTATATGGTAGAAATAGATCGACAATTTATTTATGTTATTAATATACTGAATTATTTGTTTTTTTGATAAATATTACATGAGTGGTATTATACCAAATAAATATTTTTCGACTAGTGATTAGAACTAAAATAAAAATATAAAATGTAATTATAATAGAAATTATAAAAATATTTTATTGTAGAATATTTTAAGTAAAATAAATTTAAATTATTCAATATTTGTATTAAAAATTTGAATTAATTTAAATAAATTTTTATAAACTTAAATATTAATAAAAATTTCAATTTTTTTTTAAATTATTGTACATTCAAGATTATATTTTAAAATTATATTTTTTTCCATTATAGTTTTTTTGAAACTGGGCTTTTTCAAGAGAATTTATTAATTAGTAATAAAAATGTTAAACAAAATTAATTTAAAATTAGAATATAAATTGATAAAAAAATAACTTTAAGATGAACATTATATTCTTTCCAATATTTTGACAAAATGATATAAATCAATATTAAACATGCAATTTAAATATGTGTTGAAAGTCAAGTTACTGAATTCTATGTTAATTAAATATTAAGCTCAGCAGAAATTAATAAGCTTAGAAGAGAGAATGACAATATCAAAGCTGAAATCTTTTCGATGAACTTACCAATTAACCAATCAATACAATTCATAAGTCGTTCTCGCACTTTTTTTTTGCCAAATATAGCCAGACTACTTACTACATATACAGTAAATGCCTCGGCATAGTACACATGATAGGCGTTAATCATGATGTTGTGTTCCATAACATTTTTCAAAAAAGATGCCACCAAATCCGAAAAAGTCTCAGAAAAAAAGTTACAGGTAAAGTATATGTATTTTCGAGCATTTTTTGTGAAGAAACAATTCACTATATCGAATTAAATCATCAGTAGAGGACGTTTCACCTACTGTTGCTGGTACATCTGGCATATCTGGTAGGCCGAAAAAAGCGAAAGTGTCGAAAGATTTAGAAATGCACCTCCCCTAAGAACAGAGCTATCTAGTGGTAGGTAAATTTATTATAAATATTTTTTGTAGAGGTGTAACTCATTACCTTTGCGAGAAAATAGGTTTCGCGGGCTTTCACATAGGCTTCTCATCAGCCACTCCTAATATCTGGGTCAAGTATGGTGACAGCAGATCATCGAAAGTTGTTTTTGACGGAAGAGATGTGGATGATTTGATAGAAGTGATCAAGAAAAGACTTTCACGCGATTTGGATAATGTGGTCCTTAACCGCATCACTCTAAGAAGACACGGTGAAGAAGAATATTTGCGCCCTGGTCTTCCGGTGGATAAAGGTTTTGAAAATGACCTTTGCAAGTTATTGTAAAGGTATCAACTGGTACATTCTAAGATAAGGTCGCTGTTTTCTGTGATATTTTCAAATAATTTACTGCTTCTTATTGTCAAACCGCCCCAAATTCATATTCACATTTCATAGAACAACCCGTTACTACTAAGTGATTCATAATAAATTTATTCGATAGAATGAACGCGTATTGGCTTAATTTTCGATAGCCGTTGTTTCATTCTCGTAACGTTAATAATTTTCTGATATATATAATTCTCTAATAATGAAAAAATGACAAGGTTTTGGAATACTTTGAAGGATGGTAAAGTTGTGAAGTATGATGGTGGCCAGTTCCTTGAATTATCCGAGGATATTTACAATCTTATAGGCGGAGATGCGCGGGGCTTGAATATGTCCACTCTGTTCATCCGTGAATATTATCAACACCTGCGAAATATTATTTTCGAGAATGAAAATATCTGTCGTTGGCGTATTACGTACTGGCAATCCGGGAATTGGGAAAACCGTTTTTGGTTATTATCTATTTTATCTCCTTTCACAACAACAGTTGTTTATCACCAACTTGGAAAGTGTCCTATTATCTTTAGTGAGAAAGGCGCTTTCAGTCCCGACGTAGATAATATTTACGTATTCGGAGAATATCTGGAGAATAAAGAAGTTTGGTATATCGTAGATGGTAGGTCTCCGACGAGATATTCTGCCAAGACAATTCTCGTCTGTTCGCCCCAGAAAAGTCACTACAAGTACTTTGATAAGTTTATCGGGACAACAATACGATACATGCCTGTGTGGGTGTGGGAAGAGGTCAATTTATGTAAGACTATTATTTACAATCATCTCAATGAATTCAAGGTTAAGCAGTTATTTCTTAAATGGGGAGGGATCCCTCGGTTTGTTCTGGAGAAAGCTAACGACAAAACTTAGCAAAATACGCTCGAAGATGCAATCCTATATGCGATAAAAAGATATGAACATCCCGATTGATGAAAGCGAAGATTATGGAAGCGATATAGAGGTTGAAAATGATGATGAGGTTGTATACGAAAAGGAGGAACCCTATTCGCTAAAAGTTGTAGAATTTGCGCCTGATTATGTGGGTGAAAAGGTGACCGAGAAACTTAAAACATCAATATTAGACAGATTACGCACAGAATTGGAGCCAAACTTGACGGCGGGTACAAACAATCCAAACTTGGGTAGCTTTTTTGAGCAGAGCGCTCACAAAATGTTGAGTCCTATTAAGATTATTGATTTAATTAAACTTTCTGATAAGTTAGCGAGGACGGACGAAATTTCTTTTTATTTTGTTGTGCCAGCAGAGTTGTACAATAATTATCAAAATCTAAAATTTGTTACTAATAATAATGCTAATATTCGTAGTATACTGGGTTGGATTAGAAATCGTGTCAAGCAATATTCTCTGAGAATTGATTTGAGCTCTGAAAGTTTATCAAGTGGAAGTAAGTTCACAAAAAAGAAGTAGCAGTTCATTAGAAGCTAGTTCATAAAAAGAGTGAAAAAAAAAAAAAGGTTTAGCTTGAGATTGCTTTTTCTACGAGATAAGGGTTTTATATAGCAAAGTGCTGTATTATCTTATAGTTTATTTTTGTATTGCACTAAATAAATTATTTCGGTTGCTACTTTTACTAGGTGCGTGAAATTGTATAATGAGCAATATACGTTTTGGCAGGTACGTATAATTTAGAAACAATTCATGAAAAATCATATGCGGTGTTCCGATGATTATAATTTTAGACATAGATCAAGGCATCACTTTTTTACTGTGATTAAAAAATTCTCAATAATATCTTCGGTGAAGGTACCCGCATCAATACTTTTTTCATCATTTTTCTGAATGAATAGCAAGTTGACATTCCTTAAACATAGTTTTTCTGATCAGCTATTATTTTCTGAAAATATTCTTTAATTGAAGAACTGATCTTAGTCTCAAAGCTAATACAATATATTCATATAGATAGTATATTTTAGAACTTTTAATATACTGTATGTTAATTTAAATACACCAAAAATAAATTCAGATATTTGTATAAAATTATTAAATATAATATGACTAAATCCTTAAATTTAATATACTGTATCATAATTTTTAAAATTGTAATTTACTTGATTAATAAAACTGCTTATACAAACAAATGTCCAGATTTTAGTATTAACTTATTGCTTATATTAAGCTTACTTATTCTAAAATTAAATAATACATACAGTAAGTATAAATTTTATCAATTTATTCTTTGATCAATAATGTATCTGCGCGAATATTAATAAATGGCCTCACATCATGTAAATTTTGATGTTGGAAGTGTGTGGAGCGTTATATGTATTACATAAATATTTATCTATTTATAGTAAATAAAAACCAAGAAGTACAGTATGTTCTTACCGAATATCTGATCCATTAATACTTATGCGTTTATTTGAGGGGTTGGTTTTTACTTCACCTAAAAAAGAACAGTACGACATCGGAAATATTCATGTCGAAAGAATAGGGCAGTGTAATGTGCGGATCTATATTCACATTAATTTTTTTTTCCGAGTAGATATCCCTCAAAAATGATTTTTCAAGAGCTTCCCATCATTTCTCTCACTGTATCAAAGTACAAAGGAGGTTAATATTCGGGTATGGATATTTTTTCACGCTTTCGTATCAAATTCTAAACAATATGCGATCAATATGCATCTCTCATTCTTATTACAAATACTCCCACGGAAATGACGAGTATAAGACTCTTGAAGAGATGGTTTGCGAATCCAATCTGCACTAAAATTGAATCGCATTACGTATTCTTAATAATTAGTTTATCAAATTTGATACATTAGGTCAAGTGAAAACCACCGAAAACAAGTTTTTAAATGTTGTACGTACTGTAATATGTATACTGTAAATCACAAAATATGGTAAAATTAGATACGTAGTCATATTTTATTTTTGGTGCTATTATTGATAAAAGATAGAGGACACTTCCTAATCCATTTAATAATCGTCCGGGCTATTATAAAAAATTATAATTTTATATGTGGCAAATATTGTGGATTATACATAAATGATAAATTGTTAGATAATTAAAGAGTTTTCGATTATAAAACAAATGAAACACCTGTTCATTGGGTAAGAGTTCCTTTACAGAATTTAATTAACGTTGGAAAATTTAGTTTGCATAATAGATTGGGTATATTTTGTTCATTCAGCAGAGAAAAATTTAATAAATATGCAAAGAGCCCATAAAAGTCATATGGTCATCTTTTACAGTTGTTGGAAGCCTATAAGGATTAATGATATACAGATGGGTAACTATTTTCGAAGGCGGACCGGAAATTTTTTGGCACTACAATTGTCTAGAATTTTTGTCGCCTTCAAAAACAATTACCCATATATTTAGAAATAGTAAAGTCTATTGATTAAAAAGTTTATTATACTGTATTAAATATTTGATCTTTTTTTTAGAACTTTTTTATTAGATCTTGTTATATACGCATATTGATTGCATACTGTTTCTCTAAAAATTCCATCAAGACTATCTTATCTACAATTTAAATCAATTTTAAGACAAATTATAATGAGGAAATACTGTATATAAAATTTTAGTTAAGGAAGAAAAACTTGCGTCAATAACAAACATTTCAATGTGCTCTTATTTTAAGTAAATTATTGAATTTTATTGTGCTCTGTACGTAACTACTTATTTTTCGCCATCATTGTCAATTAATGGTTAGAATTCTTTATCCCGTTCGTTTCCAAAATTTGTATTATCAATAAATCATATTTATTGACTTTGTATAAGTTATATGTCCCACCAAAATATTTCGACAAAGTAAAGCTCAAGCGTCTAAGACCAAACTGAAAAGGATAGATATACGTAAAAATACATTAATAATACAGAAGATTTAAATGAGAAAAAAATTTTTAGAACTTTCTGTAATCGTGGCCGACTTTTTTTTTTCAAACTAAACCAATTACGTACGCACGTAGATAGAATGTAAGCGGAATTACGTAATTGTAAGACGGTTGATCATGAACTATTAACATCACGTACAGTACTTACCCACTAATAATTTAGTGTAAAAAAAAAAGATTTCAAAATTAATTTGGTTGTTAAATGTAAAGAACCAAGTTAATAAATTGTACTTACATTCTAAAAGTTTTGCAGAATAAAGTCGATTAGAAAAATGTCAGCCAATAAAAAGAATATCATAAACCTCACTTACTGCCTATAAAATTTAAAGATTCAAATGTTCGTTTAATTAATTATTTTGAAAAATGATCTTTTAACTTGTGCAAAAAATAATACATAAACTTATACTCACAGCCTATATTTCAAAAAATAGAGTGACAATAAGTTAATTAAAAGGATGATATTCTGGTGATCAATGAATCAAATTATAGCCATACTCACAGTCTAATACGTAGATATAGTAGTAATTAAAAGGTTATGATTTTCCGTTTTAGGATACGTAATTTCATTTGTTCAATCAAAAAAAAAAAAAAAAAAAAATCATGAAACTTGCACAGTACTTACTGTCTGTAGTTTATGGAACAAAATCAAATCAATAAATACGAATACAGTACGGTATCATTGATTTATACTCACAAACTGGTAACATAAATAATTTACAAAATAAATCAATTAATTTTGCTTATTCTAAAGGAAAAAATAGCAATTGTAAAACTTGCACTTACTTCCTAGAATTAAAAAGGACGGATCATAAATTATGCTTTTTCAAAAAAAAAAAAAAAAAAAAAAAAAAAATCTTTATGAAACTTTACTGACCGTCTAATAATTTAACATACAATAAAAAATTAGTTTTTTTTTTTTTTTAAAAAATATTCAAAATAATCATTATAAAACCTATGCTTACCATCTAATTGATTTTAATTGACAATGAAATCAGTTGAGCGATCATTTAGTACATATTTACTGTACTATACCTATGTGGCATCATAGATTTTTTACTCACCAACTACGGTAATAAAGTATTTGACAAATAAAAATAATTGAGAAACAATTAAATTCATTATATTGAAGAAACAATCTATATAAAACTCATACTCACTTCCTAAATCCAAGGTGATTACAAAAATCAATTAATTTGCTTAAAAGTGATCTTATAAAGCTTATACTCACTCTCTGTCGTTTGGTGAATAATTATGATCACGAAAATAAGTTAGAAAATGTTGATCAAATCATATAGTAAATGAACCCATGAAACTAGTACTCACTGCCTGATGGTTAAATAAGATTTTATGGTTATTAGATGCTGTATGTTGATTTGTTAATTAAATAATCATCAAGCTTATACTTACAATCTAAAAATGAATGTGATATAAATTAATAAATCATTTTTAACCGATAAATAATAAATCTTTATATATACTGTATATCACCAAACTTGTGCTTACCGACTAAAATGATTAAGAAATGCTTATCAGATAAGTAGTCTGTCAATTTTAGTTCAACAACACTTTTTTTTTTTACCCACCGTCTAAACATTAAAAAGAAATAAAGTTGATGAAATTAGAATTTTTGCCCATTTTAAATCAGTTGAATCAATAAATTTATATTACAAATATTACATAGAACTTATACTTACTAACTAGTAGTTTAACAGAATTTAGATAATTCGTGAGATGCGATCAATCCAAAACGAATGCCGCATCAAAATTCTCTGCTTACCGTCTACGTATTGTTTAAGAAAATCAAGATTCATTAGATCAATAGGGGAAATTTAGTTTTGAAGACTAAACATGAAGTACACACATTCTAATAGTTTTTGAAAAACAATGTATATTGAATGGGTTCGAGAGATGTTGTCGTTCCAGAAAAATGAATGTAAATAATAAAATAAAGATTCTACTCACGGGCTGATATGTATCAAAAATAAAATAATTTTTTGATAAGTAAGTATAAAGGAGATAAAATTATATCCAGTACAAAACATTTACATACCAGCTAATATTTCAAAAGTAATTATAAATTAAATGAGAAATATTTCTTTACTCAATAAATCTTCGCAAAGTTATACTCACTCTCTAAAAAATTTAAGAGAACAAACATCTCGATCAGTATAATCAATCTAACGAAGAGTAGTACACTTATGCATATGCTCACCAGCTAATATGTCGAGAAAAAGGTATTGATCAAGATTATTGATCGCTTGATTCTGAAAATATGACTAAGATCTTTACTCACTGACTTTAATAAGAAAATAAGAATTTCAAAAACCGTTAAAATCATAATTCTTCTCGATGTATAAAATAAATCACGGAATTTATACTTACAGTCTAATGTTTATAAATGAATAGGTTATAAATCCAGTCAATTGAGTGCAGTTTAATCGAGAAAGAATTGGTTAAAAGACTTGTACTCACAGACTATTTATTTTAATAGTTAGTAAAAATTAGGATGATTCGTTAGAGAAATAATGTACATTGATCTGACAAGCAAAAGGGGTGAAAATTTTATAACC